GGGTTTAGGGTTTAGGGTTCAGGGTTCAGCATCTCTGGTCCAAGCATTCACTAAGGGTTTTGGTCATCATCCTACGTGTTTGGCATCACCCCTCCCTCCCAGATCCCTCTTCATCTGACTTACATATCTTCTTTCTTACTGTAGTTACCCAATTAGATCATTTAGCTCGCAACATTCTTTCTCGATTCGGCACCGTCTCTAGTCAATTCGGCACACGGATAATACACACAGTGTGGGGGTGGGCCAGCCGAGAGGAAGCAAGTGCCTGGGAGGCCCCAGAGAGGCCCCTGAACCCTAAATCCTAAATCCTGAATCCTAAATCCTAAATCCTAATCCTAAATCCTCAATCCTCAATCCTCAATCCTCAATCCTAAACGACCAAACCGGGAGCACAGCCCCATTAAAGTTTAAATATACATAGGTAGAGAGGGTTTAGGGTGGTGCAGCTTTGGGTTCTGCGCTTCGGGGGGATTCTGTGTTGGGTTCGCTGTGCCTTTCTTTGCTCAGGCGTGCAAGCGTTGCCGCACCGCCGTGGAGGCCGGGGGAAGCGGGAAAACCCCCCTAAAGCTGAAACCCTGACAGGCCCCCCAAACCTGAAGCCCTGAAGCTCCACGCAGCCCTATAAAAGCGCTCCCCCCCCCCCCCACCCAAGTTCTTGAGGCCGTGCTGGCGTTTGAAGATGTGGCGGGCTACGACTTGGATGGCGACGTCTTCACTTGGCCAGGGCCATCGGGAGGCAGAGGGGATTCGGGCAGTCCCAAGAAGGTATCCAAGAAGGTGTAGACAAGCACACAAGCCCCTCAACACCCGAACGCCAACGCGCTAAAGGATATATACTTTCAAAGTTTTATGGGCCCTGCTCCCTATCAAGCGCTATAGAATAGCCACTAATCGTCCCTAAAACCTAAACCCTAAACCCTAAACCCCTAAAAAGGGTGGCAGCCCAAATCCTGCCCCGCAGCTGGGCAGGAAGCTCGTGCAGGCGGACCGAGCTCAAGGGAGGAAGCATGTCCGGAGCCTACATCAACCCAGGGAAGGAGTATGAGCCCTGAGCCCTAAAGCCCGAAAGCCCTAAAGGGTTTAGGGTTGCGGGTTTAGGGAGTTTAGGGAGTTTAGGTTAGGTGTTTAGGGTTTAGGGAGTTTAGGGAGTTTGGGGTTTCGGGTTACGGGTGTCTTAAGCTTCGAGGCGCCAGCGATTGATTCGGTCGAAGGCCGCCGAGGCAGCCGAAGGGCTGATCTACGTTGCCAGGGTCCCAGCCAAGGCTTTGGGGTTTAGGGTTTGGGGATTTAGGGCTTAGGGTTTCGGTTGTCGGGTTTAGGGTTTGGGGTTGTCCCTTTAAAAGCGATCCCCTAAATGATATGGGGGTTTCCGAAATCAGGCGTACCTGGTTGGAGTCCTGATGGTAACGGCATCAAATTTTGGGGGTGTACAGTAAGGGACCCTTTTATGGGGGGGGGGGGGGGGTGTCCCCTATATAAAGTGCGGCGCATTAAGAAAAGAAAGAACCCAAAAAGGAGAGAGCTACCCTTTTCGAGAGAACGTTGCTTTTTACGAGGTGTCTAAAAGAAAGGGTTTGTGGGGTTGATCTATAGGGCTTAGTTTTTATTTCATGTGTCTTACTCCCGTTTCCACAGGGAAGTTTACTGTACTTCTCACATAGGGCCTCCCAAATCCACCGGTTGGGCCTGAGCTGCCCAAGACAACCCGCAACCCTAACCCCCCCTCCCATCTCACCGGTTTGGGGAGTGTAGACAAGGGTTTCCGCCTTTCGCCGAGCCTCCCTCCCCTTGCATCGATATCACCATCCAGGCAGAGCTGAGCTGCGCGAAGAAAGCTGCTCACCACCTGACTGGCGAGCGGTGCAGGACCCTCACAAGCCGCGATGCCGCGGGCTCGGCACAAGATGGGGTCGACATCTCGATGTCGGGTGGGGTTGAGCATCTTTGAGCATCTTGGGCAAGTTGTCCGAACTCAGAGACGAGAATATCTTACGGACGTCGAAACTTGCGCCGGGGGGAGGGGGGGGTGTGGGGGAGGGGGGGGGGGGGGAGGGCGGTTAGGGGGGTGCCTTGGAATTTTTTGCGGGGGCGTGAGAGAGAATTCCTCAAACGCTTGGAAAGGTCCGAGACTGCCAACATGTTTCCTTCCAACCTGGAGGCTGCGAGCCAGTGTGCGGAATTTTGCGGGGATTTAGAGGGGGTTTAGGGGGTGTGTGATGGGTGTAACTGCCCATGCCGAGTTTTCATCGGTTTTCATTCAGTCTGAGACATCTTTCTTGCACCCTACACCCAAAACATCCTTACCATCTACGCAGGCTAGAGTTCAGGGTTTAGAGTAAGGCTTCGGGTGAGCCTTCCACCCCGAAACCCCCACTGCTCTGGTCAGACGACGTGGTGGAGCTGCCCATGTGGGACCGCGGGCACACCTTCGTGGGTGCCGCAGGGGTGGGGAGCTGCCTCCACGTGGATCAGGCTCCGATGGGCTTAGGTTGAAGTTCAGGCAGTCGTCTCCATCGTGGTGCTGTTCTTGGATGAATTCATGAATGATGAAAGATGAATTGAGGAAGGATGGAGGATGAATGACGAAGGACGAAGGATGAATCATTCTGTGGTTGTTCTTTGATGATGATTGTGATTCTGATGGTTATAGCTTGGGGTGTCCCCCCCCCTGATGCTAACCGTCCTTGACAGGGATTGCAAGAAGGTGGCCCGCAAGAGCTTAGGGCTTAGGGTTTAGGGTTGAAGGTTTAGGGTTGAGGGTTTAGGGTTTCGGGGGACCCAACTTTGAGCCACCCTAAGCAACACCCTACTCCCTACCCCATGATCCGAAGTTCGCCCTAGACCCGCTAGGCCTGGTGGAGCAACGTCGCCAAGAATTTCACAGGAGTGCTCCTAGGGACTCCCACTCCTCCAATGGTTTAGGGTTTGTGGTTTCGGGTTCGTTTGGGGTCTGTGGCTGAGGGTTTGTGGTTAGGGTTGAGGGTTGAGCTACAAAGAAAGTCTGAAGCAGGGAAGACTCTTGAGTCAAGGGGGTATTTGCCTGAATCCGCCAGAAAGAGTGGCCCGCAATCCTGATCAATCCCCATGTACGTCCGTGTCATCTTCACCAAGCCTTGGCCTCTCATGTAGGGTTTAGGGTTTGGGGTTTAGGGTTTAGGGTTTAGGGTTTAGGGTTTAGGGTTTAGGGCAGATTGTACACAAGTTCACGGGGAGTGGGGACGTGTTGCTGCTGTCGTCCGTGTGGGCCGACAGAAGATGTAGAAGCTTTGAAGATAATGTAGCAAGGGCTATAAGGGAGTTTCCGAAAATTAGGGACCCCAAATGTAGACCCCCCGATAGTAGGCTTCCCTCATAATAAGGACCCTCATGAGGTACCCCGAATATCGTAAGCCCCTAGAAGGAGGGACTCCTAGAAGGGACCCTTCGTCTTGGATTGGCCTTCAGCATCCACATTCGCACGAACATATCCCAAATAGCGTAGTCCGTCTTGTAGGAACCCCTCCTAAACCCTAAGCCCTAAACCCGAAACCCTTAACCCTAAACCCTAAACACCTAGTTAGAACCGCCCGAAAGCCAGCAGGATACAAGCTCGTGGCCTTGTGGGGTCCTGGCGATGCCCCCGAAATCGTGGAGCGACACGAGGGGGAACTCTTCCGCAGGCCGCCTGAGGGTTTAGGGTTTAGGGTTTAGGGTCTAGGGTTTAGGGTTTAGGGTTTAGGGCACTGAGGCGTTTGGCAGCTGGGAGGGTTTAGGGTTTGTTGTGGGATGAGTTGTGTCTTGACAGAAAAGCTTCCAGAAGCCAACTCAGCAAATTCCGCTTCTGCTTTGCTGCCATTGTCTCTGCCTGGTTGAGGCCCTTATCGCCAGAGCAGATGCAGTCTCTATCAAAGGCCTTTGGGAAACCCAATCTCACGCCTGAAATGACAGCTCCCTCAACCTCAAACCCTAAACCCTAAACCCTAAACCCTAAACCCTAAACCCTAAACCCTAACCCCTAAACCCTAAACCCTAAACCCTAAACCCTAAACCCTAAACCCTAAACCCTAAACCCTAAACCACCTTGTGCAATCCTAGATGATGCGCCCCAGAGGCGGCCATCATCGCCCTCCTGGAGCCCGGAGACGTCGCGAGGCAGGGTGGCAGGGAATCCCCTGATTTAGGATTTAGGGATTAGGGTTAGGGTTTAGGGTTTAGGGTTTAGGGTTTAGGGTTTAGGGTTTAGGTTTAGGGTTTAGGGTTTAGGGTTTAGGGTTTAGGGTTTAGGGTTTAGGGTTTAGGTTTTAGGGTTTAGGGTTTAGGGTTTAGGGTTTAGGGTTTAGGGTTTAGGTTTTAGGGTTTAGGGTTTAGGGTTTAGGGTTTAGGTTTAGGGTTTAGGGTTTAGGGTTTAGGGTTTAGGGTTTAGGGTTTAGGGTTTAGGTCTTAGGGTTTAGGGTTTAGGGTTTAGGGTTTAGGGTTTAGGGTTTAGGGTTAGGTTTAGGGTTTAGGGTCGAACAGTCGGAGGAACTGTCAGCGTTGCAAGTGCAGCCGCCACTCACAATCACAGTGCTGCCTTCAAGAAAGGTCGTCTTTCCGACGAGCACGGTGCTTTCTCTTGTCCTGCTAGTAGGTGGCATCAGGAAGCCTAATGCCGCGGACACCAAAGCGTCCGAAGCCGCAGACACCAAAACATGCCTCACGCTGTTTTCGTCTTACACCCTTGATGCCCCTTCTGCTAAACCCCAAACCCCAAACCCCAAACCCCAAACCCCAAACCCCAAACCCCAAACCCCAAACCCCAAACCCCAAACCCCAAACCAAACCCACACCCCCACCCCCCCCCCCACCCCCACCCCCCCACCCCAAACCCCCCGAACCCCCTCACAACCCCCCAAAAAAACCCAAAAAACCCAAAACCCACAACCCCAAACAAACCCCAAACCCCAACCCCAAAACCCCAACCCCAAACCCCAAAACCCCAAACCCCAAACCAAACCCCAAAACCCCAAACCCAAAACCCCAAAACCCCAAACCCCTATAAACCCTATAAACCCTATAAACCCTATAAACCCTATAAACCCTATAAACCCTATAAACCCTATAAACCCTATAAACCCTATAAACCCTATACACCCTATGAACCCGATAAACCCTATAAACCCTATAAACCCTATAAACCTTATAAAGCCTATAAACCCTATAAACCCTATAAACCCTATAAACCCTATAAAGCCTATAAACCCTATAAACCCTATAAACCCTATAAACCCTATAAACCCTATAAACCCATACCGATGCGTCTCGCCCTTCTCTGCGCCAGTTTCAGCGGCGGCCTCCCACATGCCACGGTCGTGGTCGGGCCCGAGCTCAACCTCACCGCGTACGTGGGCCGGCCCGCAGTTGAGCCTTTTCTTCCTGGCTCCTCGCAGGGACTGGGGAATTCGGGGCCCCCATATGCAATCTTTAAGGGAGTATAGAGGGTGCCTCATTCCCTCATTCCCGACTCAGAACCAGCCAGTAGCTTCAATAGGGGGTACTAGAATCCCGATTAAAGACTGTTAGCATGAAGGGGAACGTTGCAGAGTTTCGGGTTTCCTCTGTCCCCTTTTGAAGATGTGCCGAAGCCTGGATGGCAGGAGAGCCTCGTCAACTGGCATCCGGCCAATGCAGGCCGACCAGGAAGTAGCTATACAGGAGCTTAAGAGCAATCAGCAAGATTTGCCCCTTGCAACCCCTGTACTGAGACTATCTGAGACTGAGCCTCTGTATCGGCCACATCTCAAGGCAGATCATTTGCGCTGGCTCTTGCACCTTTATCGGCCAATGCAAGTCTTATCGGCCAAGCAGTGTTTTCTGTGGGTATCTCGGGCTATCTGCTGCACAAGGTTGGCCATGTGAGAATCACACGTCATTCTTTCGAGGTGCTGCGTACGACGGCATGTGCACATCACACGTCATTCTTTCGGGGTGCTGCACACGACGACACTTCTGTGTGGAGCACAGGGTTTTCTCCCGAACGTGGTTTTCCCTGTGCCCTCACTTGTATCTGAGTATGTTCATGCTTCAACCCCTGTATGCTCAGAATATAGGGACTACCCAAGATTCCCTTCCAAATGGATGGGCTCCTAGAGCGGCGGGATTGTCGGCCCGGTAGGCTGAGGGAGTTGAGCAAGTCGTGACGGCGTCAGGGCCCTCTACACCCTGAACCCTATGTACCCCAGAGCCCCAGGCCTTAAACGCCTAGTCGCAGGCCTCCTTCTGCGGGGCTTGGCGCGCCGAGGTACCAAGGGGAGGGGTTGTGATGCCCGGAGAGGGCTTCTTGGGCTGTATAGGCAGCGGGCCCACGGTGCCCCCTGTTTCTGTCAGACTGGGCGGGCCTCATGGCGCACTGTCCCAAGCCTATAAAACTTGTAAACCCTAAATCCTAAACCCAAATCCTTAGCCCTAAACCCTAAACCCTAAACCCTAAACCCTAAACCCTAAACCCTAAACCCTAAACCCTAAACCCTAAACCCTAAACCCTAAACCCTAAACCCTAAACCCTAAGCCCTAAGCCCTAAACCCTAAGCAACCATGTAACACCCTAAACGCGACAACCATGAGCCTCAAAGCAAAAGGCAAGGGCGTCATGACCCGCGGCGCGATGCACGGCCTGCTGGACGACATCGTGGACGCCCTTTGGCAGCAGTGTTGCGGTTTAGGGTTTAGGGTTTGTAAGGTTTAGGGTTTAGGGTTTAGAGTTTAGGGTTTAGGGTTTAGGGTTTAGGGTTTAGGGTTTAGGGTTTAGGGTTTAGGGTTTAGGGTTTAGGGTTTAGGTTTTAGGGTTTAGGTTTCGGGTTTAGGGTTTCGGGTTTAGGGTTTAGGGTTTCGGGTTTAGGGTTTAGGGTTTAGGTTTAGGGTTTAGGATTTGGGGCAAGCGTCAGAAGCCCGAGAATCAAACCCAGAAGCTATACAAGACCTGTGAATAGAAATCCATTTCCTGGCCGGCTGAAGTGCAGGACTTCGCAGGGTTTTTGGGCGCTTAGGGGAGTTGAGGTACCGAACTTGAGATTGGGGTGCATGGGGCTAGAGGGTTGGGGTACAGAGCTTGAGCTAAGATGGAGAAACCGCCGAAACCACCTTGAGTCAACATAGTTTGCGCACATGGGCCATCTGGCCCTTCTCCTCATGTAGGCTGACAGAGTACAGCTGGCTGCAACCATTGTGCCCTTACTTGGCAGAACGGCTCGCGAGATGCGTTGTTGATTCTTTGCTCACCGGAGCTCAGGTCACGAAAAGGTGGGCTCCCGTCGAGGTGTCGTGCCTCAGGTTAGTTAGTTGGGGCCCGCCTTTCCAGATCTACATTCAATGCTAGCAAGAGTTCAGCATGAATTCTCTTCCTCTTGTCGTCATCGTTATTCCTAATCCATTTTGTTCTGGTGGCTTTTGGAGACTTGGCGAAGCTTGCCTTCCGCAGGCCCCCGAGCTTGGGAAAGATGGCGAAGGCTCGGCCGTCCGAGAGAGAAAGTTCCAGCAGCAAACGGCCCTGTAGATTGCTGTTGGCTATATGTGCCCTTTAAGGGATGAGAGTACCTCATTCCCCCATTCCCTACTAACATCTACTAACCAACAGTAAGTAGAGTCCATGTGCAACCCTTCCACGGAGGTGATGTCCTACTGCTGCAGTTGGGATCCTCCAACGATGACAGGGGCAACGTGGATGGGGAGGTACGGCAGCGCGCCGTGAAAACCGCCTCCCTCTGGAGATCCCTGAGAGCTGCGGGCCACCGTGTGTCGGTCCTTCTTTCAGGTGGCAAAGACCCTGATCGCTTTTTCAACCACACGGAGATCTCGCACTGGAGATACGTGCGGGAGGCCGTGCTGGAGTGTGGAGTTCCGGCAGAGCACATCGCCGACCCGGGCCTTGAAGCCCTCCACACCGTGGACGAGGCCCTCATGGCTGCCGAGTACGTGCGCCGGAATTGCAAGAACTCTCTCCAGAGCCTTCAGGTCATCACCAGCGACTTCCATGTGGCCCGGGCCCGGCACCTCTTCCACGTGGCCTTCGCCGCTGTGGGGCTTCCGGCCCCACTGGTGCTGGGCGTGCCCGACGCCTGCGAGGGTGAGGCGCTGCGGGCCCACCGCGCCAAGGAGGCCTCCTCCAGGGCTTTTTGGCTTCGGGGGTTTAGGGTTTAGGGTTGAGGGTTTAGGGTTTAGGGTTTAGGGTTTAGGGTTTAGGGTAACCGCCCAGGAAGTTACACGATGAAGCCTCCTCCACACCCTCACCGTCACCCCTTCTTCGCCATGCAAACCCTCCTCAAACTCTGAACCCTAACCCCCAAGCCCTAAGCCCTCAACCTCAGAACCCTGAACCCTAGACCCCAAAACCCCAAACCCTAAACCTCCTAAGCCCTCCCCAAAAAAACTTCCCTAAACCCTCACCCCCCCCCCCCCCCCTCCCCCCAAAACCCCAAACCCCAAACCCTAAAGCCCAAGCCCTGAACCCTAATCCCAAAACCCCAAAACCCTGAATTCCCTAAACCCTCAACTCCCTCGAACTCCCTCCCTAAACCTCCTTAAACCTCCCTAAAACCTTCTGAAACCACCCTCAACCCTAAACCCTAAACGCTAAACCCTAAACCCTAAACCCTAAACCCTAAACCCTAAACCCTAAACCCTAAACCCTAAACCCTAAACCCTAAACCCTGAACTCCCTCAACCTCCCCCCTCTTTGGCAGGCCAGGGCCTTGGAGGCGTTGCTGGGGGCCTCCCGGGGTGCCTCGTGGAAGTCTTGTGGGTTTAGGGCTTGCGGTTTAGGGTTTAGGGTTTAGGGTTTAGGGTTTAGGGTTTAGGGTTTAGGGTTTAGGGTTTAGGGTTTAGGGTTTAGGGTTTAGGAAGTAGGGTTTAGGGTTACGGGTTTGGGGGTCTGGGGGGTGCCCTCCCCAAAGCAGTAGGATCTTTGTCTTGATGAGCCTAATCAGCGCTCATTCCGAAGGCTCCTGGCTGGCACACACACAATGGAGATGCCTTTCTGCATCCCCAGCACTACCACAAACTCCTGCTGCGCCTCATGAAAGGAGCCCCCAAAATAGGAGTTGGGCTACAGTTCCGTGGAGCGGTCAAGTAGCCTCTTAAAAGATAAGCAAAGGGTTCTGGAAGTAGGGTCTAATGAAGCCCAAAGCGTAGAAACCCCAAAACCCCAAAACCCTAAACCCCGAACCCTGAACCCTAAGCCACTAACACTAAACCCTAAGCCCTGAGCTCCTAAACCTAAACTCCGAAACCGTCAACCCTAAATTTTAAACCTGTGCATATATAGATATATAATACATATATTCTCCTATCACTGTTACATTGCTGTATATAACTGTATTTGCATATTATGATACTACTAACACCTCCTTTTATATCCCCAAACCCTAAACCCTAAACCCTAAACCCTAAACCCTAAACCCTAAACCCTAAACCCTAAACCCTAAACCCTAAACCCTAAACCCTAAACCCTAAACCCTAAACCCTAAACCCTAAAACCCTAAAACCTAAACCCTAAACCCTAAACCCTAACCTAAAAACCCTAAACCTAAAACCCTAAACCCTAAACCCTAAACCCTAAACCCTAAACCCTAAACCCTAAACCCTAAACCCTAAACCCTAAACCCTAACCCCTAAACCCTAAACCCTAAACCCTAAACCCTAAACCCTAAACCCTAAACCCTAAACCCTAAACCCTAAACCCTAAACCTAAACCCAAACCCTAAACCCTAAACCCTAAACCCTAAACCCTGAACCCTGAACCCTGAACCCTGAAACCCACCAGGGCCTCCGAACCGCGCCCTACGACCCCTGGGCCGCCTTCCTTGGGGCCGCCCCCGCGCCCGGGGCCGCCGCGGCACTGAACGCCGCGAGACTCGCAGAGGGTGTGGGGTTTAAAGTTTAAAGGGTTTAGGGTTTAGGGTTTATACGGGTTTATACGGGTTTATACGGGTTTATAAGGGTTTATAAGGGTTTATAAGGGTTTATAAGGGTTTATAAGGGTTTAGGGTTTCGGGTTTGGGGTTTTAGGGTTTAGGGTTTCGGGTTTAGGGTTTAGGGGTTAGGGTTTAGGCTAGGGGTTCCCCACTTGAAGCCTCGCTCCTCACAGCAAAGCCATGATGCGCGCACTTTCCAAAGTGCGATCCTTTCAAAAAGAGGAGGGGGGGGGAGGGTTTAGGGTTGAGGGTTTAGGGTGTAGGGTTTAGGGTTTAGGGTTTAGAGTCTGGGGTTTAGCGTCTAGGGTTTAGGGTTCTAGGTTTGCCAAGCAGCTAAGGCAAGTGCTCGCGCCCACGAGCCCTTCTTCCTCACACCTGAAGCTGCAGGTGAGCCCCAAGCTGGGCCCGAAAAGCTTCGGTCTGGGAAGTTGGGAGGAAGATGTCAGCCCTAAACCCTTAAACCCTAAACCCTAAACCCTTAGCCCTACGCCCTACGCCCGAAGCCCCAAGCCCTAAGCCCTAAAAGCCCGAAGCCTGCACCCCCGAAACCCCCAAATCGAGCGTGAAACCCCGAGCGCCCTAAACCGAACTCACAGAAGACTCGAAGCTGAGGGAGTCGCTTGCTGAAAGGTCTCACGGGTTTGTCAGCCCCTACCCTCGAAACCGAAAATCCCCTAAAGACCCGAGATCCCTGCCGAAACCCCTAACTCCCCAAAACCCTTCAACCTAACCCCTAGAGCCCCTCAAAGCCCCTCTTACAAGCAAAACCCGAAATCTTCAACCCTAAACAGCCCTGAACCCTAAACCCTAAACCCCAAACCCTAAACCCTAAACCCCAAACCCTAAACCCTAAACCCCAAACCCTAAACCCTAAACCCTAAACCCCAAACCCTAAAACCCTAAACCCGAAGGTCGCCTCCGGGGCGCCTTCCGGTCGGTCCTGCGTAGCTCACGGCGCTGCCGGCGGCACTTGGACGCAAGGGAGGACAAGGCCTGCTTGAGGGTGTTGTTTAGGGTTTTTGTTCAGGGTTTTTGAGGGTTTTTTGAAGGTTTTCGATTTAGATATCTTTTGGGGGCTTTTTTGTAGGGTTGTGTTAAGGGTTCTTGGAGGGTTTGTTAAAGGGTTTTTGGGCTCTTCTGTGTTTTTTGTTTGAGGGTTTTTTCGTGGTTGGGCTTTTCTCTGTTTTGAAAGGGCTTTTAGGGTTTTTTGAGGGATTTTGGGGTTTTAGGGCTTGGGGTGCCAGCCGGATGGATGACCCTAATTTCCCTAGTACCTTAAAACTCCAAACCTCAAACCTCAAACCTTAAGCCTCACACCCTATTTACCCCAACTACTTCATGACCTCAAACCTCGGACCCTAAACCCTCAAGCCCTTTGTTTCCATGGACTTCGGGCAGGATGGGAGCTCAAGCGGTACGAGGCCGTGGTATGAGGGGTTTAGGGTTTAGGGTTTTAGGGTTTTAAGGGTTTAGGGTTTAGGGTTTTAGGGGTTTAGGGGTTTAGGGTTTAGGGTTTAGGGTTTTAGGGTTTTAGGGTTTTAGGGTTTTGGGGTTTTAGGGTTTAGCGTTGCGGCAGAGTGTCAGGGCTTGGGCATTGCGGCGTTAGGGGCGTGACCGGCTTTAAAGGAACCCCTTGCCTGGAGAAGCGCCGGGCGCCCTCCCTGAAACCTGTGTTTGTTAAGGCATCTGCACGTGTGCGATGACCACCTGAAGAACTCACCAGCCTTTCAGCCGTTCATCTCGAGTTTTGCTTGCCCACTTGTGGTGTTTTTTCAAGGTGAAAATTGGCATATGTGAGATTCTTGCAGACACTTCAAAAATGCAGGAGCGACGAGCGGAGCGATGCATCTCAGGAGGCAGTGGGATGCTGGGGACAGGGGAGTTCGGCAAATCTCCGGAGTATAGGGTGTTAAAGCGCACACACACAATGTGGAAGCTCTATGAGACGGTCGAGTCCCCTATCAAGTACTCCGAATGTGAGGGGGGCTGCCTGCTACCAGCGGACCGAAGAGAGGTTCCGAAGAGAACCGACGAATTGACCATCTGCAAAGTGGGGAGTCGCTTCAAGGACACTGGTTTGTTGCGAGGTGCACACGAAGGCTTGTCCGAAAGGCTTTTCACTCCGACCCCTCCGCAACCCTAAGACCCTAAACCAAAGAACCCGAAGACCCTGAACCCTGAAACCCTGAAACCGGAAACCTGCATCACCCTAAACCTAAACCCTGAACCCTAAACCCTGAACCCTAATTCCTGAACCCTAAACCCCAAACCCTAAACCCCACACCCTAAACCTTCAACCCTAACCTGCGATGGGAGGCCAAAGAAGCCAAGAAACCACGGCTGAGCCGCACGGTGACCTGAGCACCTTGAAAAACAAGATCGACCTGCAGGGGTTTCGGTGTTTAGGGTGCAGAGTATTCCGAGACTTTGGGCTTTAGGGTTCAGGGTTTAGCCGTCTTTTGGAGGTTTTCCGCTTGGAGAGGGATGTCAATCAGGGATCTCTTTTAGCGTTTGCTGCCAAATACAGGTGTTGGGGGGTTTAAGGGTTTTCTTGCGTTTTCGGAAGAGTGCCAGCGAGATGAGACATTCTCTGCCGGCTTTGGCTCGCAGGCATTGGTAGGTTTAGCGCGTTCGGTTTAAAATGTCATCTGCAGACAACAAAAGCGCTGCGGGCCCTGGCATGGTTTGCTGGGGCTCCTGTTTTTTTCAGTGTAGCTTAGCATGGCTTTACTTGGGTTAAAGTGATTAAAGTGACCTAAACCCTAATAACCCTAACTTGGTGGTAACCCAAGCTGTTGGAAGTCGTTGATTAGGGTGCACTCTTTCCGCAAATCCGCGCCGCAAGGGCGGTTGTGGATGCCACAAAAGAGGCCTGCTGCAGCTTAGGGCTTAGGGATGTTTAGGGGTGAAGGGTTTAGGGTTTTGGGTTTAGGGTTTAGGGTTTAGGGTTTGGATTGGGGATGTGCCAGCTCCAGCTCCTTGGTAGCATAGACACAAAAAGCGCCGAGGACAAGAAGGCCCGCAAGCCCCGGCATGGTCAGCTCCCTAAGTTACGGTACCCTACATGAGGGGGCGCGTTTATAATCAGGACCCCAAAAGGGGCCCCCTTTCAGAGAAGTGCCCCCTGATGGAATTCGAGACGCACCTTCCGTGTCCAGGAATGGAGGACGATGATGTTATCCAGGTGGGGAGCGGATCTAGTCAGGGTTCAGGGTCAACATCCGTTTT